GAATCAAGGATGGGGGGAAAAAAAAGCAAAACATACAGAAAACAAGAAATGGAAAATTATTTGCTGACAATAACATGTTTGTTGATGTGCTTGATTGAGACAATATACAGTGTACTCTGGATGGAAAATCTCACTTTGTATGCTGTAATGATGTACAGTGAATGAATGCAAATAAATAAATTGAAATAAAAAAAGAGAAATTTTAAAGTTACTTTTATGTCTCACATAAATATTTCCAGTAGGCAGCACTGCTCCATGTCCATTCACATGGTGTAATTATGGTTAATTTTTACCTTCTTGCTTATATTTCTATTTTTTTTCAAAAAACAAAAAAAGATAAATAGATGATATTGTGTCCTGAGGAAAAAAATATATATCATAAAATTTAGAGTCTGGCAAACACGTATCCTCACTATAGCATTCGGGCAGCTAACCTATTCTGAGTCTTAATGTGTTCATTTGTTAAATGGAGATAATAACTATTTTGACCTCACCAGGTCCAAGCTCACCAGGCTGTTGTGGGAAGGGAGAAATGCAAGGAGAAAGCAAAGTGTTTAGCATCAAATGGGCACAGTGAAAACTCAGTAAATATTCAACATTATTTCTAGTTATATCTCGAGACCTGACAGATGTATAATGTTTTAATCTCCCCCATTTCTAATTCAGGTCCTTGTCTCATTCTTTAAGTTTGTACTGCTATTACAAATCTCCCCTCTTCTGCAGACAGAAAGCTAAACTTTCCCCTCTTTTCCTTACCATTGAGAATGTCTGGTTTGGCTCCACATTTTCTGCTATTTGTTCAGACTGAGTTTCCTCCCCTTTGTTTACTTTAGTTCATTTCAATGTCAGAATAAGAATTTTATCCTGGCTAAAATACAAACCAAGCCACACTTCTTTATCTGCCCCTGCCCCTTGCCTCCTACCTGGGTGCTGGGTCTTGCTTTCTACCAAACTCTGCTTCTGTGGATGAGATGATCAGTCAAGGACAACTGATGCCAGGCATCACGTGCCAAAAGTGGGAGGCAAACAGAAGAATGTAAATAGGAGATCAAGAGAAGGAGGAACAAAGGCAGAACAGAGCAAAGTGATTTTATAACTTCTCTCCCATTGCCCCACAACCCAGTCTTCTCTTATCACTGCCTTTGCCAGTTGGCTTTAAACGTTGGGATAGATTCAGCCCCACGGTCAGGACACATTCAGCCCAAATGTAAGTAAAGGATTCTTCTCATTGCCTTGCTGCAGCCTGAAGTACATCCCCCAACAATGTAGCATCACACACATCTCAAACTGTATGTTCAAATTCCCTACTCCAGGGAACAAGGCCTCAGATGAAAATGGTTGTACTTGCTCTCTGAAATTCAGTGACAGGGAAGAGAGAAAGATATAAGACTGAGACCAGCAGTTGGCATAATGGCTATGTTGCTGGACTCTCATGTAGTCAACCGTGGTTCGAGTCCGGTCCCAGTGGCTTAAACTCACGCTGGGCACATGTGCGTGCATGCCCAGGACCCCGAGAGGAGAATGGAGAAGGGATTGTGGTGTGGCCATTCCCCCTGAGGGGTGATTTCTCACTTTCTGTCTCTGTCTCTGCCTTTCGGTCTAGCACACACATCCTATAGCAAAAACCTCTCCAAAAAAATTTTTTTTATATCTCTCTCTCTATATATATATATATGTACACACATATACATGACTTTGTGAAGACATATAGTTTCACCATATAAGGAAGGCAGGCTTCTTAGCTCCTTCACAATTAATAAAATGAACCTTTCAGTCAGAGCTGCATGAGGGAAACATGGGGAGGAACAGGAGGCTTAAAGCACTCATGCTCCTCAAAGTTATGAAAAAAAGCTTCCCATTTTCTATGCAAGTATTTTTCTTTTTCCAGCAGAAAAATGTTGGTATTTTTGTTACCATCCAGCAGCTGTAGCTGAGTGATTCAGAATATACTCTTGACTTAAGGTGGCATTTTTTGCCTTTTCATCAGATCAATATGTTACTTTGCCTATTTTATTTTTAGATTTACTGAGTGTTCTCAGGGTAGCAAATTCAAAGGAAAGAAATAAGCAAATTGGTTTGTATTTCAAAGCTTGTGCTGAAGTTTGACAGGAGAAACTCTTGAAAATTAACAAAGAAGCAGACTTTCCCAGGCCCTCCTTGCCGACATGTAGGATTTGTGGAGAGTCTGTTGTTGGGGAGTTGAGTTATTTCAGAGCTAGAAAACACACCTAGGAACTTTCAGCCCCCAGGCAAGGGATGCCCAGGCAAGTGTGTGCAGGAGGGCCAGAGTGGAAGCATGCACATGACTGTTTCTCCTTGACCATTTATTAAGAATTTACCATCGATCATAGGCAGGAATTTAGCAATTATTGCCAACCATTGCTTCCTTGTGGTTTCATAGAAAGCTGAAAGGTTTGAAAATGTGAATACATTTCCCTATTATTATATTATGATTCAAATTTAGAAGTAATCCTGAAAATGCAAATTCTGCTTTAAGATAATCAACTTGTGAACTGCCTAACCTCCACCCTCACCCTATCATAAGGATTAATGGAGTCAGCTCTCATTTGGCTGACTGTGGTTCAAATACCAGCCCCAGTAGCTTGGGGGACATGCTGAGTGTGTGCTCATGTTGCAAATCTCAAACGGATGGAGAAATGGCGGAGGAGGGATTGTGGCATGACCGCACCTCATTGGAGGATGGCTTCCTCTCTTACTCTCTATCTCTCTAGTGAGTACATGTACCCTCTAGCAATGGGGGAAAAAAAAGGATATAAAGTCTCTACACAGGGACTTACATTCTAGTGTCTTGGATTCTTAAGAGAGAGAGAGCAAATGCTCTGCGGATTTTCTGAAGTTCCTTTTTTCTTTTATGTCACTGTGGATAAACTCTCATGATATCTGTGATTTCAGCCGTCTGTGGTCTATATAACATCTTTTTCTGTCAGAGTTGTAGAAACAGCAATAACTGTATAAGGCAGAATGCATATATGTGCGCATGCAAACAAATGTACATTAAGTCAACATTCGATCTACACAGGGGGTCACTGGGATCTCTTCTCTAGGGTCGTATTGTTTCTGGGCTGCTGAGCGTGAGCATGTTACTAGATGAACTTGAAGGAAGTCTTACATTTTCTGTTGGTTTTAGGTAATGATTTTTCTTCCCTTTTATGTGAGAGTAGAATAGATGACATGTCTAAAAGCCTTAGAAAAGAAAAAGAGCTGTTGCAGCTATTTGCATGATGGGTGTAGCTGTGCACATCTAGCACATATATGTCCAAAAAACACTCACAGTGACAGGCTAGTCCTGATTTTGTTTCCCCTGAAATGGAATGCAAAATCAGTATCATTAAGTATGCTTCTTTGTTACCACTGGGACATTACTTCCATTTGACTTAAAAATATCACTGAGTCTTCTTGTTGCAGGCATTCTTTAAAATACAAATACTGTGTCATCTAATATGGCTATATTGCACAGATACATCTATTTCTTTAAACCAAAAAGACAAAACCAGATTTTTGGACAACATAAAATGCTTTCTGGATACACAAACATCAATAAAAACATTTTTAAAATTAACAGACATCAACAGGTATAAATACACTATCTAAAGCATTTAATGGTCTTTAACACAGCCAACTCCCCTGGGCTTGAAACAGCGTTAAATTCTCTTTTTGCTAGTGGCAAAAGAAGCTGTCAAGCACAACACTGAAAAATTGGTACCATTTCCTGGCCAGTAAGCACAGAACTGAGGGGCTAAGTATTTTATGGTTTTTATTTATTTATTTATTTATTTTGTTCTCATGCTGTTTTTCTTTTTTTTTTTTTTCTCTTTGTTTTTTATTCTTCTCTCCCTGTCTCTCGCCTGCTCCTGCCTGCTCAGGACTGATCGTGGTGACGTTAGCGGTATGTTGGATGCCCAACCAGATTCGGAGGATCATGGCTGCGGCCAAGCCCAAGCACGACTGGACGAAGTCCTACTTCCGGGCATACATGATCCTCCTGCCCTTCTCGGACACCTTCTTCTACCTCAGCTCGGTGGTCAACCCACTCCTGTACACCGTGTCCTCACAGCAGTTCCGCAGGGTGTTCGGGCAGGTGCTGCGCTGCCGCCTGACGCTCCAGCACGCCAACCAGGAGAAGCGCCTGCGCGCCCTCCACCATTCCTCGGCCGACAGCGCGCGCTCTGCCCGCCCGCTGATCTTCTCTACCCGGCGCAAATCCTCTGCGAGGACAACTAACAAGGTTTTCTTAAGCACCTTTCAGAGCGAGGCCAAGCCCGAGTCTAAGCCCCAGCAGCTGAGTCTCGAGTCACTAGAGCCCAAGGCAGAGACGAAACCAGTCAGCTCTGTTGCAGCGGAGAACGGTTTTCAGGAGCGTGACCTGTGAGTGTCAGGGAAGGAAGCGCTGAGTGGGAACCGAGCCTTCCCCCACCCCCCACGAAAATAACGTTACCCTCACAGGGCAGTCACAGAATAAACTGCAGCCCAGCAGGGACAGAATGGAAGCCAGGGGTTTGGGACCGGCAGGTGCCCACCACAGTGTTCTAAGGGCTGATTCGGCCCGCCTGCTCTTGACTGGTTCCATGAGCAAGAGACAGAGCGTGAACTTCCGTCCTCCTTTCCTTCAGGTACACACTGAAAATTCAGTCAGACTGAATTTATTCAGAGCTTACAAAAATGTTTTACACTGAACTCTTTCCTTATTTGCCAAGGAACAAAAAGAGATCTCAGACTCCCGTCCCTACCCAGAATAAAAGGACGCCCAGAAGAAACGCAGGGTAGTGGGGGAACGAGGGTCAGAAGAACGATGCAGGAGGGGTTGGCATCTCCTTTGGCTTCAGCAGTGTGCCAAGAAGAGGGCTGATTTGAGGAGCAGGACGATGGTGGGGAGCCCTGGCCTGAGGGCCGAGGCTGAACTGCCCCTTTTCTTGGGCCGCGGCCCGTTGCAAAGAGGAGTGTTGCAGCAGCTGATGCACACTGAGTTCAGTTTCCCGGGGGAGCAGAAGGACTGGTACCCGGCAGAGGCGATGAGACAGGCGGCGGATGATGCGCAGGACTTGCGGTACATGATCCCTGCAACACAGACCCAAAGGAGCTGGGTTAATGTGCGCTGGCCAAAGGACAGCCGTCCCTCTCAGCCCAGATCCAGACGCAGTTCTTCCTCCCACACAGCCCAGAAATGTGGGGCCAGGGTGGTGCTTCAGCTTGTTTCAATGAGCCCCCAAAAAACAAGATTTGTGGTAAAAGAGGCAGTCACCATTTCACTACCTTTGACGAAATTGTTCCAAAAGCTATTTCAGATGCCAAAACCAGTGAATAAAGGGCTGTCACAGTCAGAGTCTGATTGTTTTCCAAGTCAGCATTCACATTGTGTAACTAGACACAGTTTTTATTTAGGTTTCTTTTTTTTCTTTTGGTTTAGTCTTATCTCATGTCAGTGAGGACCACAAGTGGTGCTTCCACATCTTATCTCTGTTATTACTTTATAAACCACTATAGAAAGCTAGCTCTCCACGATGTGTTTATTAAGCCCTGGAATTCTTTGAATAAAGACCAAATCCCAATGGGAATAAATCTGATTTCTGCTGAAAGAGATCCTGATTTTTCCCGAGTTTGAGGGTCCACTGGACTTGGCGAGGGAGTGCCCTGTCTGACAACAACCCAGAATAGCCTTGTTCTCAGGAAGACGCTTTGACCCGAGGAAACATGGCCATCTGCCAACTTGGCATCACACAGCTGGCACTTGGTAACACACACCTGGGCCTATAAAGGAGCTCCCCAAGAGCACTGGAGGGCCTGACTCCAGGAGCACATGTCTTGTCCAAATTGCATATAGCTGACAAATCAGGGTGTTGTGGATAATTATTTAATTTTTTGTTTTTTTTTTGAGAGGTGTTTGCTATAGGGAGCGTGCACTTGCCAGAAAGACAGAGAGAGACAGAAAGCGAGAAATCCCCCCCCCCCCAGGGGGAATAGCCATGCTGCAATCTCTTCTCCTCCATTCTCCTCTTGGGATCTTGGGCACCCACGCACATGTGCCTGACGTGAGTTTTAAGCCACGGGATCTGGGACTCAAACCACGGTCGACTACATGGGAGTCCAGAAACATAGCCATTATGCTAACTGCTGGTCCCTCATTTAACTTTTAACAGCTGAAATGTTATTCAACCTAAACAATAATGATGACAACGTAATAATAGTGAGGCTTACTTAAGGCATTC